TAATATAATATTTTATTATTTTCATGTTACACAATAATGATGTCACGGTAGTTGTACAAGGACCCAAAATTTGATATTTCCATTTCTTATGGTCGAGAAGTAGAATCTACGCACGTTTTTCTTCAGCTCCGGAATCTCTACCCGCTCTCTTTTGCTCCATTGAGTTTTAAATCGAATTTTGAATAAAGTTAGCAACGCAACACCGGATGCAGGTTGATTCTTCAAGACTCAAATAGTAGCGCATGTCGAAAAGAACCCCCCCCCCCCACCCCCAGGAAACCCCCACTAAAAAAATAATCAAAGCAAGAAAGGTTTTATCTGTAAGCGTGTAAACAACAAAATTTTGAAGAAAACATTGCCATTTTCTAGAAAAGGTACATCCATAACAGCAAATTTAACGTTATACTATTAAGGCGCAAAACAATTAAGGCGGTATACACGGTACCCTTCACGGTACACGATACTAAAAATCTTCAAGTGCTTGGTGACATGCGTTAATATTGTTTAATTATTCTAAAAACTTGTGTCGGCAATTTTTTCATTAAAAGCAACTATCAGAAGGAGGAAGTCGAAAAAATATACCGAGAAATGTGACCACGACACTTGCGGGAGATCTAGTCTTATATCTTGCTATGCAGCATTGCAGTAAACTTTTGCTGATATGTGCAGCTAAATGTCGGTAAATATTTTGGTTAAGGACATTCTACCTGATAAAAAGAAGCGGTTGAGGTAGCAACACATGGAACAAACTTTATTCGTATAATTCAATATTCATTACTAATGTTACGCTGGTTAGGTTAGAATTCATGCGTATCAAACAAAAAAACATTAGATACTTTTGCTTAAAAACGAACTTTTCGTCATACGTGCGTTACATTTAAGAATACACAAAAAATATTATAAAATATTTTTACACAATAAATACCGTCGAAAGGAATCTGAATTGGAGCGAATCAAGGAATGATATAGTTACGAGACCGCGAGGAAGACAAAAATGGTATATTTAACACGTATGCGAGATTAATGCACTTATGTGATTTATTATTTTGAAGTCGAAGTATTGTGCTCCAATGTCTTCTGAAAAGGATTTCCGAACACCCACTTTCAATTTTGCTATTGTGGCCAGGTTTGGGGCCTGTTCGAAGGAGTGTGCTACAACGCCAGAAGCCCGTGAGGATGAGAGTGCGAGCGCGCCGTGAAAGCGCCGTGAGGGATGCAAGGGCAATGAAAACGTCTCTCTCAGACTCTCCCGGAACAAATCTATTTTTACTCAGTACCCTCTGAATGCGCTTGCAGCGTGCGCTCGCTTCGGAGAGCAGTGGGTCGAGTCCGGTGAAACATCTGCGAGATCAATCGCTGTCGGGAGCGCTCTGTAAATGACCTACTAGTTACACGTTAATGGTCTACAAAATGAAGTTTATGCTTACGCAGCATACTCTTTCATCTCTTTATCCCCCCACACGCGCTATTGCGGCCGGAGCCTACCGAGAATAGTAAGCGAAGGTCAACTTGGGATTTTGGAGGTACATGCTCTACTCCACGATGGAGAGAATGGTAGTGCACTGTTGGCGGCTTGCTGTCGCCCTGCACCGCTATCAGCTTCTTGTTTCAGGGCAAATTGACATTCACAACCGTCATTCAAGCTTGTTTCTAAGAGTGCTTCCTGGAGAAAACTGGTTGTCGTAACGAACGTACCTCAGAAAAGAGCCATGTACTCGTAAAATAGTGCTTGGTGTCGAGTGAAGACAATTTTATTTCATAAGTGGTTGCTATTTTGGAGATTTATCGTAAGAGCGAAGAAAAGAATAGAGTTAAGCATACATAACATTGCTCCGTTTTGGCTATGTGTTAAGCAAGGTAAAATTACATCATTTGTTTTCTTAAGATATAAAACTAGATTCAAATTTAAAAATGAATAGAACAAAATAATTTTAATTTGCATAATTTCAGTATTGATATGTTGAAGTTGTATTCCGCTGGAAAGAGTAAAACTTTGAAGAATAAGCCCTCTGTGGTTTTAAATCGTCTTCGATCCTTCATGCTCGGACTCCAGATCAGACTGGGCTCGTGGAGCGGGGGGGGGGGGGGTCACCGGCCGTCCACTAGCTGTGCAGGCGTAGGACTGGCCGGCGTGGCGGTGACTTCGCGCATTAGTTCGCTTACTGCTGATCTCTGGCTCAGAAAATGCTATTGGCCCGTAAACGTTCCACGGACAAGGGCACAAGAAAACCCTTTGTTGTGGGCTAACGCGCGTTAGAAAGTGCTATTAATTTTTTTCCGAGCGCTAAATAAAATCTGTAGTTAGTTTACATGTTTTGTATTGGCGCACACGCTCTACCAACAATTTCAATCTGATACTAAAATTACTTTTTCACGCATTGAACCCCGTTTTCACAATTTAACATTCGCGCCTTAATAGAGCGACATCCACACTAATCTTCTTGCATGTCCCAATGACTTCTTACAAGTACTTAGAACTGTACAACGTAATAAATAAGTACTAATAGTAGTATCACTTGCACACATTATCATAAGTTTTTATATTCGATTTCTGCTAATAAAATAATAATAAGTGTTTTAGTACTTAGGGGGTTTGGGAATAAATGAAACGTACACATGTTTCGTTTTTGTGTTTGACTAGCCGAAATATAATGAACTTTGAATGAATAAAGGAACAATAATTAGAAAATATAGTTTATTAATGTTCTTGTGGATATTTAAAAATTCTTTTAAAGTAAGGCTTTATGAGTACTGGAAATTTTCATCATCATTGAAAAACGTTTATGGAAAATACATTACGCAATGTATAACTGAAAATTTGCATAATCTCGATTGTTTTCAGCACACTGCATGGAAACTACTCTTAGTCCTTTCTTCCACTGTTCATTGATTAGAAGGTTACTTTGCCGTACGCGTATCGCAGTCACGACCATCTAAAACAATTGAGTACTTCAAAGTAAACAATTGCGAGGACATGAATCAACATGGCTGTCACCTCGCATATTGAGAATGACCCCATGATTATAAACTTTTAAGATTGCATGAATCCGAGTAACAAAATAATGTAAGCAACTCGTACCAAAATGTTTTTAGCGTACTCATTTCAAAATACCATAATCATTTTGGTCAGCATCATTTTTACATAAATTACCATTATCATGGCGTCAACATTCCATGCGTCGGTGGAGAACTTACTTTATTAGTTAGGTAAATAAAAGTTCGGTTACGTAAGTGATTTAAGTCCATAATAAAGTGTATCATAGTTTTAAACTAGTGTATTCTACGTCAAGATTAGAGTTACTGTTATATCTGTCCCATACCTACAACTAATGACTCGTGTTGTTTTAGTTGCTACGAAAAGTAAATTTTATATTCCAAAACGCTTGTTAAAAAGCCTCTATCAGAGACAGACTCCTCATTTTGGTCGATAAATGAGAGAGAAGGGCAACAGAGAAACTCGTAGGTGATAGTTTCGCTTCTTTTCCGAGCAAACGAGATTTTCCCTGCAGGAAGAACTTCGCCTGGCACGCTCAGAATTGTGCGACACACGGTCCGTTTACCGAAGAGCCCGGCCCAACTGAGCACCCCGCGAAGCCGCGCGCCGGCGGGGGCGGGGGCGGGGGCGTCAATCGAGCGACAACGGCCGCCATCCACACAGCGTGCTCACGGCCAAGGGCACCACTACATACTGGTTTCTCAACTGATTTCCCCCAGTACTTATGCGTCGAAACTACACCTTACCTGCACTGTTTATTGTTTGGAAAAAGTAAACACATATGGGACACTTGAAGTACACCTATGACAGACTTTGCTGTACGCGTCCCCCGAAAACCACATAGCCATATAGAACAACTGGGTACATCAAAGTAAACAAAACTGGGGTTGAGATGAAACAACATGGCTGCCGCCTCGCGTATTCACACAGATCCCAAGAGTATATAATTGGAAGCTTGCACGAATTCGTATAAGAACTAGCGAGGCTACAATAGCACATTTTTTTTCGCACGATTCGTAACGGCTACGCATAATTACAAAAGTACTTGAATCTGCAAAAGTGTTTCCAACCAGCAATTTTTTGTCACGCTGGATTCCAATTTAGGATTTTACGTTTACCATGCCATTCACAATATTGCTACACCACCCGCCTCCCAGGTAAACTAGGTCTTTCAGTCGCTTTAAAAACAGTTGCGCATTTACATTTACTCTTCTTAAAAAAAGAGAAGATTTTACATGATGTTATTTCAAGATATACATCTAAAAAACACATATCCAATAACTATTTTATACATACATACATATATATATATATATATATATATATATATAT